GACGTTGCATTTTCTTGGGCTACTCTCTCAACCAGAGTGCTTATCACTGTTACGATCCTCTTACCCACTAACTCTATACCTCACGCCATGTCCAGTTTGACGAAGCTACTTTTCCTGGTCTCTCCTCCCCATCTGATCCTTCATTTGATCCGCCAGCATGGGTTGCCATAACTACTCCCCCTGTCACTGTATACTCCATTTCTCCTCCCATCCCTTCCCCACCTTCCACTACACCTTCCTCTCCACAACCCTGCACTCCGGCTGCTCGACATCACCTCTCCTCACCTTTGGCTGTGCTCCCCGATGCTACCTCCTCACATCAGAATCATCTCCCTCCATCGCCGGCCAAGCCTGCTCATTGGCCAGTCACTCGCAACCAACGCAGCATATTCCGCCCCAAGAAGTTGTTCCACACACAGGTTGCGTCTATGGAAGTGGAGCCCACCTTGGTCAAGCAAGCTCTTGCTGACCCACGGTGGAATGTGCCATGCGATCTAAAATGCAAGCTCTTTTATCTAATCACACCTGGTCTCTAGTTCCTCGACCCTTGGTTTTAATATTGTTGGCTGCAGGTGGATCTTTCGTATTAAACGCCATCCCGATGGCTCCATTGAGCGGTTTAAGGCAGGTTGGTGGCCAAGGGTTTCTCTCAACGTTCGGCCATCGACTTCCATGATACATATAACCACATTCTTAAACCAGTCACCATCCGCACAATTTTTTCTATTGCTCTGTCCCATCAATGGCTTATTCTGCAGTTCAACGTCAACAATGCCTTTCTTCAAGGTTCTTTGCAGGACACGGTTTATATGACACAACCCCCTGGCTTTCGTGATCTGACTCACCCTGACTATGTTTGTTGTTTATCTCGGCCTATCTATGGACTTTGATAGCCCCCCGCTCTTGGTATTTGGCACTCTCTGGCTTTCTTGAGGAAGAAGGATTTGTCATGTATAAATCGGATGCATCTTTGTTCATTTATCACAAGGGCTCTATTTCCTGGTACACGTCGATGATCTTATTCTTACCGGCAATGATACATCTTCTCTTCAGCAAATCCAGGCTCGTCTTGCAGCTCGTTTTTCTCTCAAGACTCTCGGCCCTGTGAACTACTTTCTTGGTATCGAGGTTATTCCGACACCTACTAGTTATATCCTCTCTCAGTATAAGTACGTGCATGGTGTTCTTGAACGGTTCGGCATGGTGGATTCACACCCCACCCCCACTCCTTTGTCGTCCTTCGCCAAGCTGCTACTCTTTGACGGCATACCTCCAGCTGATTTCACTTTGTACAAACAAGTTTTTGGTTCCCTACAATACTTACTCGGCACCCGCCCCGATATAGCTTTTGCCGTCAGCTTCATTTGCAACATGTCAGGCTCTCGCAATTTCTGCATCCACCTACTCAGCTTCATTTGCAACATGTCAAGCGACTGTTTCGTTACTTGAAGGGCACCTCACACCTCGGTCTCCGCCTTGCTTCCGCCTCTATTCCGACTCTTGTCGCCTTCGCAGACTCAGATTGGGCAAGTGATCCCAAAGAACGCACCTCCACCATGGCCTTCCTTGTCTACTACGCCGGTAATCTCATCTCCTGGAGGTCCAAGAAACAACGGCCGTTGCTTGCTCCAGCACCGAAGCCGAGTTTCGTACTCTCACCCATGCACCTCGGAGCTCCCGTGGATTCAGAATCTTCTTCATGAGCTCCATCAACTGGTACCGTCCGTTCCGACTCTCTCCTGCGACAACCTCGGCGCTGTCAACTTCTCCACCAATCCCATACATCACTCCCGCATGAAGCATCTAGCTCTCGATTACCTGTTCATCCGTGATCTTGTGCAGTCTCGGCAACTACGAGTTCAACATGTCCCCAACTAGCCGACTCCTTGACGAAGCCGTTGCCCATCACGTGCTTCCGGCTTCTTCGCTCCAAGATTGGTGTCGTACCTGCCACCATCTTGCGGGGGCGTGATAAGGAATCTACTTAAATTATTTTCTTTCTCATTTATTTAATGTAATTAGTGGAGTAGTGGCTAGGTTGTTACCCCCTTTGTAGTTACGTGGCTACATGTTTCTGTTGTACAGATTGGTATTTAAACCATTCTTCTAATCAATACAAACCACCTCATTCAAATCAATTACATATAATATTACTAATCTGTGAGAAACTTATTTTAAAAATAAATTATTTTATATGTTTGTCAACCTTCTTATGGACTTGTGGAGAATTGTTTTTTTGAGTTAACCCAGAACTTAACCAAACACATCCGCCAACCACCCAATCCAATCCTATAAACACAAAATTAAATGAATATTGGTTACAATTATACCAACTTGTGAATAAACGAGTGAGTCAATTTAAAACCAAAACCCATCCAAACCCCTCACCCAACCCTATTCTACCTCTAATCAATCGACACAAGCCTTACACAAAACTACACAACACAAGTAAACAACTAAAACAAATCTTAACAAATACAAGGACCAACCCAACTTCAGTAGCAGCAGAGTCCAGCATTTCAGTGGTTGTAAAGGGATGGCAATTTTGCCCATATCAATGGGTTTTTTACTATCCAACCCAATTGGGTTGGGTATGAAATCCAAATAGATGGATATGCGTAGAGTTTGATGGATTTGTACCCATACCCATTTTCTTTGGGTTGGGTTGGGTTTATAACAAATGGATTTGGGTTTGTATCCATGCCCAAATACAAATTATAGTTTGGTACCTAAACTTAATAGATATGCATATTTAGTACCTAAATTTAATTTTTTTGCATATAAGTCCTCAAAATATGGGTGGAAAATTACGTTTTGGTAACTAAATTTTTTTGGCCTTACATTTTGGTACCTAAACTTTACAAGTTTTACAAATAGGTCCAATTTTTGCAGGTGTAGTTAAAACACACTCAAGTAAATGGATATCCATATCCAAACCATACCCATTTAGATTATGGAAGCAATATACATACCTTACCCAAACCCATCTACAAACCCCCAAACCCATATGCACTTTACCCATACCCAACCCATTATCAATGGGTCTACTTGGAGTTGGGTATAATTACCCATGCACTGGCGGATCCAGGGGGTCGCCACCCCAGGCCCCGGCCCAGCCCTCCTTTGGATCCGTAGTTACTATAGTCCTTATGAAATTTTCGATTTTAGACATTCGACCCAGTGTTATTTTATGATAAGATTGGGTTTAACTAGAAAAATTATCAAGTTGAACATATTCAAATAACTACTCTAAATTTAGCCTAAAAATTTTAGCCCCAAAGAATATGTGTCTTAAAAAAACAATGAAACCTAAAATTCTAAAAAGTTTAAAACGTAAAAGACCAATAGAAATATGAGGAAAGAAATATGAGGTTTGTTCCTTTAAAAATTTACTAGAGCAGCGGGTGTGCAGGGATGGACACACAATGCAAATTGATTAGTCGATTGATTTAACTAGTGTTGATGCTGCTCGTTTCAACAACTACTACAAAGAGAACCTTTTCAACAATGAAACATGTGAGAAGTGATTTACTCAACAAAATGAGCGATGAGTTTCTCGCCGATTGCTCAAGTATTTTATTTGAAACAGTGTATACTATTGGTATGGATGTAAACTCCATTATTGATGCATTCCCTAAATTAAAATACAGTCGTGTACAATTTACATTGCAAAAAACTATAATCATTATATTTTTTTACGGTTCTAATTTTCTAATGAAATGCGGCTCAGTGCTCTTCTGTGTTCTGGATCCGCCGTTGTACCCATGGGTGGGTAATTGCCATCCCTTGTTGTAAGCAGTTGATAAAATGAGGTCCCGACTGGGCTGGAGGAACTCTGCCGTACCTTGTTGATTTGGACATCAGAAGATTAAGTTGTTGTCACTTTCTGAGTTCTGTTGCCAAAGCCGATCCGCTCTCTTCGCAAATTGGCGAAAACAATAACAACAATGATTTCTATCTCCTTGCAAATAACAAAAAGACACATCGTTGGTAGCGAGAGGAGATGGAAACAAGCCAACGTTGATTTCAACGTCCAGTAGTCCTTTCGGTCTCACACTGTTGTCGCGTAGTCAGTTTTTGGTCATTGATCGTATGCTTGAAGGATGAAGGGGGAGAAACAAGAAGAAAGCATCATTATATATATAATGGATTCATATCTTTGCCATGCAATATCAAAGCTGAAACATGATGACGAGCTCTCAGAGAGAAACATATGTAACGGAGATGGGGAAGGAGGTGGAGACCATAATTCAAGCATGTCCAATGAATGGCGGAGATGATGCTTACAGCTATTCACATTATTCTGTTTACCAGGCAAGTCCCTCCCTTTTACCATACACATACACGATAAAGAAGTAGTTAAGAATGATAGACGATTTAATTATTTGGGTTTTATGTCCGGATTGGATTATTTATTCGGGTTTATTTTGGTTATTGGGAAAACATTTGGGGGTTTATAAGTTGGGTAGTTAGTAGGTAATTGTGTTTTGATATTTAAACTATTATTTTACGTAGGAAAGGCAAGCAAAGATTAAACCTAAAAAAATTACTCTCTCTCCCTTTTCCCTGGCCGCCGAGCCTTCCTCTCTCCCTTCCTAAGCTGCCGATCGGCAGCCCCTTCTTCCTTCCCCTCTTCTCACGTCAATCCTCCTAAATCACCCCCTTTCTCTAATTCTCAAATTCCCGGATCAATCCCTAATTGATCCCTAGCCCCAATCCCTCGATAGAGTTCAATCCGGAGCTCTATCAAGCTCGTTTTTTACAACAACTCGAACTATTAGTATTAGTTGGCTTATGACATTTTTTCCCCCTTTTCATCGTGTCTCCATAGTTATATACTTATATTATGTTTGTTCTTAGATATTGGGTGTTCATGTTTCAAACGTTGAATCTCCCGACCAATAAAACCTTAAAATTGTGATATCATATTAAGAACCTACTTGCGATGTTGTGTTTGAAACTCCGATATCTATATCTTACGTGTGTTTACTTCTTTGCAGAAAATTGTGGTGGACAGAGCAAAGGAATTGATGCAAGAAGCCATCGAACACGAGCTGGATTTGAAGTCCTTATTCCCACTAAGCGGCAATTCTTCGATCACTTTCCACGTAGCTGATTTCGGGTGTTCTATCGGACCAACCACCTTCATGTCGGTACAAAACATCTTGGAAGCGGTCAACCATAAGAACCAAGCATCAACGACCAAACTACCACTAGAGTTTCAAGTCTCATTCAACGACCAGACCAACAATGACTTCAACACCCTCTTCCGCTCTCTACCCGCCCACCACCAAGGAAGCTACTTCGCCGCCGGCGTCCCAGGAAGCTTCTACGGGCGCCTCTTCCCCAAGAACAGCCTGCATTTGGGGTCAATCTCTTCTTCCCTCCACTGGATCTCCAGGGTTCCTGGAGAACTAACGGCCGCCGGTCGTAGAGATTCCATCCAATGCACGGGATTCCATGAAGATGTCGCGAGGGCCTACTCGGGTCAGTTCACAAGAGACATGGAGGCTTTCTTTGATGCCAGAGCGGAAGAGCTGGTGGCCGGCGGCTTGCTGGCGATTTCGGCGTTATGTTTGCCCCCTGCAGCGGTTCTGTCTCAGACCCGCCTGGGTGTGGTCTTCGACCTGGTCGGCACTTGCCTCGCGGACTTAGCCGACTTGGTATGTCAAACTGTCACCATATATATCTATTATCTTCCATCAACCTGATGTTTCTTACACTATGGCAACTAGCTCGACCTATCAATTTGTTTTGCTTATGTTATTGGTTTCGTATTTCTTTTAATTGAAACCAAAATCATTAAGATGATAAGTGATTTGTGACCAAAATCCAAAATCGTTAAACTTCTTACTGATTTGATTTCAGTTAAAATTGAAAGATCAACCAAACTGACCGTCCTAATTAGTGATGACAAATGGGTGGGTCGGGATAAATTACTCAATATCCATGATTGTTCGACACCAAACGCGGGTCAGATTTGATAAAACTCGTGCAATACGAATCGGGAAAAGTCGAATCATTCTCACATAAAAATAAACGTAAAATTTTATGTTTTTTTTTGCTACAAAACAAAGGAAAAGCGTTTCATTAATGAAAAGTACCGATAAGAGAATGAGTGGGCAGACCTAGTGTGCTAATATTTTTTTTGTTAGTATGATACCAAAAATAGCTCCAACCAATAGAAATATTTTGTTTTGATGACTTTCTTAAATTTAAATGGGTTAACCATAATTGATGAGGGGGAAGAGGCATAGGAGTACGTTGGTCATTAATAAAAATGGGGGGAGAGGAAACATGCATGCATTGTGCATTTAATTGGGGACGGAGTGCATTAATTGGGAATGGAGTGCATTAATTGGATGCACCAAACACATACCATAAACACAAGAAATCACAACACAAAAAAACCACAAACTTTAGAAAAAACAACGAACTCACCACAATAAAGTTTATAAAAGCATATCCCAAATCACATGTAGAACTCCACAAGTCTCATAAATCACACTCCAATTTATTAAAACAGGTCAGAAGTTTCATAAAGCAAATTACAATTTTATTAAAGCACACCACAAGTTTATAAAATAGACCACAAGTCTCATGAAACAGACCACAAATCCCATAAAGTAGACCACAATTTCGTAAAGCACCACAAGTTCATTGAACTTTACCAGAACTCACATAAAGCAGAACTCACATATAATAGGTCACAAGTTTTATTAAGTAGACCACAATTTTATAAAACCCTTGTCTAATTGTTTTTTCCATGAATGTGAATATATTATTAATCATCAAAGGTACACCAGAGGTGTATAGAACAGGAGGGAAAATGTGGGGGAAAATCGTGAGCTAGTTAGGAGAAACAAGCCCTTCGTCACTGAATCGTTGACCAACGTTGGAGAATTTCTTTCTTTCAGCAACAAACCCATTTTTTTGTCGCAGAACTTTCTGTTGATGCTGTACGTATAGGCGACGAAAGTTTATTTACTTTGTCGATGCCAAAATTGGTCTCGGAAACTTTCAGCGACGAATTTTTTCATTGCAAAAAGTGAAGTTTCTTGTCGTGTTGGGCCTGGACTAAAAGCTGAGATCCAAGTACCGATGACTGAGAAGTTTGGGGTTTGAGATCTGGATTTTGAACAAAATTGGGGAAAAATTAGTTTTGCGTTGAACGAAGGTAGAGCGAGATAAATGAGCAGTTGAGATGGACTACAATAATACCCTTATTAAAAGTAATTTTTTTAGAAATAACATTGTTTAAAAAAATTACAAAAATAGCACCCAATCCCGAAAAATAATAGCACCCTTGGGTTGAGTGCAGTTTTGTTGATCGCAGCAGGTAGGGGCAGTATGGTTCAAAACCGCTGCCCCACCCAACGGTTTGGTCCATTTTTTCCGATTATTCCTAACCTAGGTAACTTTAAACAAACATATCTTGTACTCGGGTATCCAATCGTAGCGAAATTTTTTTTGATTCCACATAACTTTTCGAGATTTTGCAAGCCTCAAACGGCACTTTGGTCCCTCATTCTTACCGAAAAAACGTCGTTTGCTACCCCGAATGGGCTTTTTTTCGATTTTGCCAAACTTTGAATGTCCATAACTATGTACTACGCAATCCGAACATCATGAAATGTTTTTTGATTCTGCATTACTTTTCAAGGACTACAACTTTTACTAAGAAGAAATTTTCAAAATATGAATGATTTTTGCATATACAAGGTTTTGGGAATATCTTTACCTTCTCATTTCACAAATCCACGTACATTCCGAAATTATATCTATGATAAAAATTGTAGTCCTTAAAAATTTATAGGAAATGGAAAAAATTTCACGACGTTCGAATTTTGGAGCACAAGGTTATTGTCGTCCAAAGTTTGACAAAATCGGATAAAAGCTCGTTCGGGACAGCAAACGACATTTTTTCGGGACGAAGGCGGGACCAAACCGCCTACGGCCATTTGCGGCTTGCAAGATCTCGAAATTTATGCTGATAAAAAAGGACCAACCCGCTGAGTGGGACAGTGGTTACTCGAACACAAAGATACGTTCGTTTGAAGTTTACACCTAGGTTAGGAATAATTGAAAAAAGGACCAAACGGCTGGGTGGGGCAACGATTTTGAACCAAACTGCCCTACCCGCTGCGGTCTCAACAAAAATGCTCCTAACCCAAGCGATTTTCATTGAAAACCGCGCCTCCACCCAACAGTTTTTTAGAATGGGTGCTATTTTTGGTATTTGGGAATTGGTGCTATTTTCGTAGTTTTTTTAACCAATGTTATTTCTGGAAAAATAAATTCTATTAAAAGTGTTAACATAGTGCTGACACCCTATCCGGTCACTAGAATGAGTAGTTGAATATAATTAAGTGAAAGATTAAGTGTTCCATCAATTTAAAGTTTCATTGGGTGCAAATATAATTGAGAAAAGCAAAAATAAGAGAAATGTAGTTAGATATTGAGACTAATTGATATACAACAAGTTAAGATTTGAGCAAGGCGGACTGGTTGAAATTATCCTATCATGGACTACTGCGGGTTGGATAATACTCACAATGACGCGAGTCAAATCAAATAATATCTAACGCAACAACGGGTTCAAGTTACTATTTATATCCCTAATTGCAACTGTACATATATATAAACTTATTCAAGCATTGATTCCTCTCTCCAACTTTCTTATTTCTTTTTGTTCCCTCAAAATTTGGTTAGGGGCTCGTCTCCGAAGAAAAGCTGAAGAGTTTCTACTTACCAATGTACTACCCCCAAGCTGAAGAGTTGGAAGCTTCAATAACGAAGAAAGGATGCTTCAGCATACAGAAGATGGTGAAAATGGCTCCTTTCTCACCGGAGAAGTTCCAAACGTTGATTCAAACCCCAGCCTCGCAAATAAGAGTACTGTTGGAGGCGCTCATCAAACAACACTTCAAAGATATTACTCCACAGAGTGTGGATTTTATATTTGAGCGTCTGAAACAGAAGCTGTTGGAGAATATGGATGCCATTGCTAGCCCGAGTACTTCCCCACATCTTGAAGTGTTCATCTTGGCAAAGCGTCTTTGACTACTTCATTTTCTCTCACCCTGGCTTTTTTGTTGGAGAAATGTTATACATTACAAGAAAACTGCAAAAGACAGCTTTCCTTTGCTTGCTCTCGGGGGGACTGTTTGAGTGTTATCACTATGTTGATCAGTCCATTCTAAGGAGTTACAGACCCATGCTGTATCTTCCTCTGTTTTTCTTCTCTAGTTTACTTTCCCCTGTTCTTCTTCATCTGTTTTCCTCTATTTTATCTCGAGATCGGTTTTGTCTACGTACACAAATAAACTTCTGAATTTGTTCCCAATGGAAGACAAATAATCTACTTTGCCTTTAAACACTCTTGTTCAGTTAACTAATCACATTCTACTTTCTGAATTCTCTAAGATTATGCAACTGATGATTCACTATGTTTTATTTTACAAAAGATAATCATATACTGATTCAGAAAGAGGTAGTTACATCCTGGAAATCAGTCAGGTCTGGAAATCAAAAGAACGACTAATAGTCGGAGACAAAGAAAGGGTCTTTCTAGCCACAAAATGGGCTACTCTATTGCTACGCCGATCTACAAATCGCACACTAAACTCATAATGCAAGGCAAAATAATGTACTATTTCTTCAAGAATAGCCCTATCGGGTTATTACTAATCTGCGCCCGATTGATCTTATCAATGACTACCTGGGCATCTCCCTCAAATCTAACTACCGTCAAGCCACTCGCAAGACACCACCAAATAGCCTCTCGCAGGGTCAGCAATTCAACCACCATAGGGTCATCAATGCAAGGAAACTTAACCCCAAAAGCCACCAGTACCTCTCGGTCTGGAGTCAGCAACACCATCCCCCCTGCCGAGTGAGATCCACTTCGGGTAGCCCCATTCCACATGCATACCCCCACATTCGACCGACCATGACTAGAGTGATGAGACAACGAAGTAAACCGCTGAGGCACCTGGTCCACCGGCAAACTTACCCATTCCTGAAACTGCTGATTCAACTGTCTCATCAAAGCCGGGATCCCAAACTGCTTTCCCTCAAAGAAAACCCAGTTACGAGATCGCCAGACCCTCCAAAGTACAGCGACACAAGCCATGTACATCGTAGGTTGATGTAAGAGATCCATCAACTTCTTCAGGAAAAACACAAAGGTAGGACGAGGTAACTGATAGACCATCGATTGCACATGTTTTTACCCCTATTCTTGAGCCGTTTGAGATGTCAATTTCCGCGTTTTAGGCCGATTTCACGCTAGGTTGTTCTTGTTTGTGATATTTCAGGTCCTAGCACGTGAATGAAGGTCTGGGAACGAGTTCGAGGTCGATTGGACGAAGATTGGACGTTTGGCGAGAAGCTGAGGAAGCCACACGGGCACGCCTAAAATCCCAACGGCCGTGTGACCTGGCTGTGTGGCACCATTTGACACGGGCAAGCCACACTAGCCGTGTAGGGAACCCATTGTGGCTGTGTGAAGGCTCAGTGATTTCCACATGGGCAGCCTGGGAATCCACACGGCTGTGTGGCCCTGGCCGTGCAGCATGCTTGGAAGCCCACTAATCGAAACGCCGCGTTTGAACACTCACACGGGAAGCTGGGAAAGTCACACGGCCGTGTGGCCTGGCCGTGTGATCGGGAATTTCGGGTTTTAACCCAATTTCCAGCCAAAAAAGAGGGGTTCCGAGTTTTTGAGAGAAAAAGTGCGACCTAGAGAGAGAAAGTGATGATCCTGATTCTGCAAGTGTCCTAGATCGATCTCCATCACCATTGGAGCCCGGCTTGAGTTTGGAGAAGATCTGATTGAGTGCCAGAAGCAGATTATCATCCTTCACAGTATGGTTTCCGCATCTGAGCTAGATTTCCCATCTCTCTCTGTGGAGTAACTTTCTTATTCACCTGGGTATGAAGAACCCTAGATTTGTATGTTAGGTCTGGTTGTATAAACCCAAGTACAGATTCTATGATTTGATTAATTCAATTGAGGTTTGAACTGTTGAATGGCATGAATCCTGATCAAATTCCTGTTATTTCTGCTTTGACCTATAATGAGAATATCTGCCTAGGTTAATAGAGCATCCTTGATTGAAGGTAGTGAATTGACGACTTTAGTCGAGGAGTCAATTCACTATTCTGAACCGGATTTACTTCGGTAGTGGAGGTTTGGTTCGTTAGGGTCTCAATCTGTTTACTTCGGTGGAGGTTAGTCGCCCGCTGGGGACTCAGATTGAGAGGGTCTGGAGACCTTTAGTCGAGACTTCATACTGTTTAAGAACCTTCCGTAGTATAACTATCATTGGAATTGAACTTGGTAAATTACGATCCGGCTTAACTGCAGTCTAGGGGGAACCATATTCGGGTGACCTCTCTCGACTTGAAAACAACCTTTTTACCTGCTTTGCTTGTTTGCTTGTTCGGACCTTCACTAAAATTTCACCGCTAAATAATAAGAACTCACGGAGTAGTCATCACATCTAGGACTCGGGTTGACATTAAAACCCAAACCCGTTATACTATGCTTAAGGAGGTGGTTACACTTGGCCATTTTCTAGAGTGACGGTAGGAGCGAGTCAGTAACCCTTTCCCTAAATGCTCTAGCCCCCTCGGGTAACACCAATGGGTTAAATACAGGGGGAGAGGGATGCAAGCGTGAATCCAGCTGGACCGGAGTAAAGACATCATCTGCCCATTACCAATATGCCAACGTAACCCCATGCTTAATAATTCCCTGTCACAGAGGATACTCTGCCAACCCCAAGACGGGCGAGAGCGAGCCGTAGCTGTGAGGAATGTTCCATTGGGAAAATACTTCCCTTTATAGAGCTGGGCTAAGAGTGATTGGGGCTCATTAAGGATACGCCAACCAATTTTGGCCATGAGAGCCTGGTTAAAATGCTCAAATCAACAAAATCTCATCCCCCCATCATGCTTACTTCTGCACATATTGCATCAAGACATCCAGTGAATACGTGACTGGCCTTCTTCAACAACCCACCAGAATTTGGCCACATGCTTATCCAACAGCCTACAGAGAGACAGAGGCAACTTGAAAAAGGACATTACATGCAACGGCAAAGCCAAAGCAACAGATTTAATCAACGTCTCCTTAGCTACCCAAGATAAAGTCCTCCATTTCCACCCCTGAAGTCTTTCCAGAAGCTTCTCTTCTAAGTAACGAAACATAGCCATCTTAGACGGTCTATTAGCGTAGGCAAGCCTAGATATTTATCCTAGACCCCAACCGCCCCTACCCCTAGAATATGGGCCAGGAAAACCTGATTTGGCACCGCAATATTTTTACTGAAGCAGACTGCAGGTTTATCCAAGTTCACCCTCTGGGCACTGAGTTCCTCATATTCATTCAAAACTTCTAATAGATTCTCACACTCCTTGAGAGACCCTCAGAGAAATAAGTAAGAATCATCCGCAAAGAATAAATGTGAGATGCGGGGAGCACGGGGGGCCACTTTAACTCCTTCGAGCTTTCTTTCAGAGATAGCCTTCTTAAGGAGAGCTGCAAACCCCTTCGTACAGAGCACAAACAACAGGGGAGATAAAGGATCCCCCTGCCGAAGACCCCAAGATGGTGCAAAGTACCTCGAAGGGGTGCCATTCATCAGGACTGAAAACGAAGTGGATCAGAGGCATTCATGAATCCAACCCCTCCATGTTGAGTTAAAATCCATCTTGTCCAAAACATCAAGGAGAAATGGCCATTCGACCCTATCATAGGTCTTTTCCATGTCAACCTATAGGGCCATGTACCCTTTCTTACCTTGCTTTTTGATTTTTAGGTAGTGCATTAACTCATGTCCAAGGAGAATATTCTCTACAATATGGCGTTCACGGACGAATGCATTCTGGCCTTCCGAGATTATTTGTGGCAAAAGACAAGCCAATCGTTCAGCCATGATTTTCGTTATGATTTTGTACACAAATTGGCATAAACTTATTGGACGAAGCTGTCTCATGGTTTCCACATTATCCATTTTGGGCATCAATGTCAGCCAAGTTTGATTGAAGCTACGGAGCATCTTGCTCGTGGAAAAGAAAGAGCAGATCGCAGCAATCACCGACTCACCAACAATGTCACAAAAAGTCTTAGAGAATTTTACTGTGAACTCATCAGAACTAGGCGCTTGTTTTGACCCCATCGAGAAAACCGTTTGCCTAACTTCGGACGGGAGGACTGCGGCAGTGAGGATAGCATTCATTTCAGGTGTAACATTCCGGGCTAGAGGAAGTGCAGCCACCCTATCAACCATGTTCAGCACCTGGTTCTCCGAGGTGAAAAGTGTGTGGTAAAAAGAACTAGCGATTTCTGCCTTGCCAGTTTCCTCCGTGATCCATTCACCACTACCATTGTGGAGTCCCGTTACAAAGTTTTGTTTTCGCCTAGTCCTCGTAACTGTATGGAAATAGGAATTATTTTTATCCCCTTTCTTCAACCAGTGGATTCTAGACTTTTGTTGCCAGTATATCTCCTCAGCCTCCCACTGACGATTTAGTTCGATTTCCAGATTACGGATAGTATCCCTATCAATAGGATGAACTAATTTGATTCTATCAATTTCGACTTGAAGAGTTTTAATATTCCGCAGGGAATTCGTAGTACCAGCTCTACTCCAGTTATAGAGCAAATGATGTAACTTCTTAAAACGTTCCCAAAGTTGAAACATAGGAGTCCCAGGAATTTCCTCTTCACAAACAAAGTTCACCATTGCCTTGACCTCTGGATTATCTGCTCAGCGAGCATCAAAACGGAAAAGGGGCCGACTAGTTCGAATATAGGGTTTGTCAGAGAGGAGGAAACCAAAATGACTTATTGATTATCATTGGTTGATAAACCTTAATTTTCCGGCCAAAATGACTTATTGGTCATAACATTGGATTTGTCCAACATATTGGTTACTAAAAGTTATATAAATTGGTAGCTAGTCAACTAGTCATTGGTGTTTATGGAGACCAAACACCTCCATTTCCATCACTAAATAAGGACTTATGACAACCATATTAAATAGTCACGAAAC